GCAGGAATTTCACTTCTAGTAATCTATCATGAGGAAATGACCAGATAGATGGGTAAATATTTACATACAAGAATATCCACTATCACTATTTATAACCTAAATACAGAACAAAATGGAATGGTTAAGTGAATAAAGGTACAGTTAGATGTATAAGGTGTACTATGAAGCTATTACAAATCATGTTTTTAAGGACTACATAATATACTATAAAATGAGTAACAATATTAGAATAATCTCAATTTTGCTAAATTATTAATATGAATATACAAAGAAAAGGGGCAGGATGAAAAGGTAGTGATATATTAACAGTAGTTATCTCTAGGACATAAGTTTTATTCTATTCTTTATTTTTCTATATTTTCATAATTTTCTAACATAGTAGCATTTCTTTCATAATGAGTAAACTGAAGAAACTTTAAAAGTTGAGAAAAATAAGCCCAGTAATCAAAAAATGTATCAACTTTGATATATGATCATCAATTTCTGAAAACCTTTTCAATAACTTATGAAAATATGTAAAATCACAAACACTGAAATTGAAGAAACTTCATAAATGAGGTCACCCATTTGTTCTTTAGATTTCCGTTCCACAGAGCTAGTATGCAAAATCTAGCTGGTATGCAAAAAATTGGGTGGTAAGTATGTACACTCAGTTGCTAAGACTTATTTATGATGATCAGTGATTAAAAAAAATCATGCTCTTTAACTGTTATTAATACAAAAAGTAAAAATGAACATTTATTTTCAGGAACAATAACCTTTAAATAGTATTTAAATTTTAATGGTATAAACTATTAGTCCATAAACAAACCACATTATTATTTAAATTTTTAGTTTTTTCTGGGCTTATAGAGTAAAGCCAGATACCCTCTGTGTGTACTGTGCACACACATTTGAGTGTGGTTGAGTGGGATGGTTTCCGCTTACCTTGTATTATCTCTTTTAAAAAATATACCATAGCTACTACTACTACCACTATTAATATTATTATTTATTAAGAGCTTACTACATGTTAATTAAGTTCACAGTACTTAGTACTTCTTAACTCCTATCATGAAGTATAATCTAATATCCTTACTTTAGAGATAAGGAAACAGCCATAAAGTGGTGAAGAAACCTGTGTAAGGCTACTCAGCTTGTAGGTGGCAGGGCTGGGATTTGGACCCTGGCCATTTAGCTCCAGGATCAAAGTTCTTAATCACCACACAATATAACTTCACATATTATCAACTACTATGAATAAAAACACAATATAAGATGGCAAACATCAAAATCACTCAGGACATGCTAGGTTGCAAAAGCACTCTAGAATACTGCAGATCAGAGAATCTAAAGTGATTTTTAGAATTAAGAAAGATAAACAAGAAGCAAAAAAGTAAAATTAGTTTCTCTAAAGGTTCTTTAGAGTGTGTATACAGAAAGTGAGGTATGGTGGGGACAGTTGCAAAAGTGTGTATTTCAGGAGAAACTGTTTGAAGCTAGGTGTCAGAAGGCCTGAATCTTAGCTCTGGTTTAATTTAATCTAATAAATAGCTTGACTTAGGAAAATTACTTAAGAAGGTAAGACCTTCTCTTATCTTCTGTGTAGAATTGAGAATAAATGAGAATACAGAAAGGAAACAAATCACCAATGAAAACCAATATGCCAAAGAGAGTACTGTTGTTAACTGCTGAGTGGGGATGGATGGCATGTGTCTCCACAGCACTCGTGAATGTGGTGTTCACATGTGTGTGGCAGGTGACTGATGTTTATGCCATTCTCCCTGTATACTTCCTACTCCAGGAGCTACTGCAATTCAAAGCATTGTTTGTATTCTTCTCTTTATACCTAAAGCTAATGTGGCTTTAAGTATTCCTTTATCATTTTAAATAATTCCTAAGGTGAAATATTCACTTACAATTCTTCATATAATGAATTATATTCCTAAAGTTGATCATGTCATTTGGTATAAAATTATTTCAGAGTCATATAGTAGACAGAAAAATGACTCACTAAAAGGAGATTTTAAAAGGTACTATCTGAATTGTTCCCATGTAAACTATTAACAATATCAAATTATTGGAAACTGGATATATACACATTGTTATGGGTATTCTAAACCAGATGTTACATTTAAATATATACGAAAAACTCTAGATTCAGGATGACATGCTATGAAGACAAAATCTCTATGCTTCATAAATATAAACTAGTTGTTCATTGGCATTTTAATTTACGAAGTACATTTTACATTGGAGGCAAGTCAGTTCAGCCTTTCTATATGAAAATATAGGTGTCAATCTATGATTACTATAGAAGCAGCCCACATACCTTTTCTCTTGTTAGGAGCTGCAGCTCAAAGCCTAGATGGCAAAGTGTCCCCACTGCAGCTTAAAGTACCATGTCAGGTCCTCAGAGTGGACCTTAGGGAACTGAACATCAGCATCCCCAATCATGGTAAGTTTCTACCACAAGCTCCTTTTTTTTAGCAGCTTGAGGTATGTGGGAGCCAAGACAGGGTGGCTGCATTATTGACACACACAGTCTACAAATCCATCCCATTTTAAAGAGATAATTTTTAACTTTAAAAGGAAGATTTATGTATTATATACTGTGAAACTGTGTCACCCTGGTCATGCAATTCATGGTATAAAATAGCATAAGCAGCCTGGGCACAGTGGCTCATGCCTGTAATCACAGCACTTTGGGAGGCCGAGGTGGGTGGATCACCTGAGGTCAGGAGTTCAAGGCCAGCCTGGCCAACATGGTGAAATTCTACTAAAAATTATAAAAAGTAGCTGGGCATGGTGGCGGGCACCTGTAATCACAGCTACTCAGGAGACTGAGGCAGGGAGAACTGCTTGAACCTGGGAGGCGGAAGTTGCAGTGAGCTGAGATTGCACCACCGCACTCCAAAATGGGCAACAGAGCAAGACTCTGTCTAAAAAAAAAAAAAAAAAAAAAAAGTGCAGGCATATTCATTCTGTAGTATGGGCAAATTCTCATAGCTGAAGATAATGGAGCAGACCTTTCCAGGTGGTGGTACCCTTCTGGGGAATAATAACACCTTGGATGCCCCTCTGGGGCGGAGTTTGTTACCAACTGCTGTTGATTTTGTTGGATTGCTCTACTAGTGGCTAACTGAACCTTCCAGGTCATGGCTCATTTGTTTTATTTTCCAGAGGTATTTAAATTAAGCATTTTAAAATTGTGTCACCAGTTTTAAAAAGCCCATTCTTTATGTTTATTAGATCAAAGTTAGCTTAGGCAATATTTGAACCTAGCTTAAAGTACATTTTTATCATATACTAATACTACAGTTTTAGATTGTAAAAGTAGTAATACATAAGCACCAGGCTGGACATGGGGGAAAAGACATACATACACACATGTATGTAAATAATGTCATCAACCAAGATGGCTCTCAAATGATCTGTCCAGTCTATTTTAAAAACAAAACCTTTGAAGAATGAAGCAGCTGCCACTTCTTTTTGAGGAAATAATGCAGGCTTCATGATTAGGAAGTTTTCTTTGTATTGGATACATTTTCCTTTATGTAATTTTGTTCATTACTTTTAGTTACCATTTTAGGTTATTTCTCAAAAATCATGTTTCCCTTTGCTATCTTTTAATTGCTTCTAGATTATTATCAAACACTGCCTCTTTTTTCTTCTTTTTCCCCTCCACTGTCTCAACCTATTCGTCATTATTTGACTGTTATCGATGGATTTGATATTTTTAATCTTTCATTATAATTTTTTTTTTCAATTTCAGTTGGTTTTTAAATTCTTACTTCCAATTATCTCTTATTTTTCTCATTCGTAATTTTTCATATTGCTCTTCCTTTTGGCCTGTCATTCAAAACAGCTTCACCCATCATGTAAAAGAAACTTGATTTAATTATTTCTTTTCAATTATAAGACTCTAAAAACATTCATGCAAAAGGATATATTGGTTTAATCAGCAATATTAAAATCATGTTCTTATGCAAGATAAACTTCAAATATTAAAAGTGCAAAGCATCACCATTACAGAGAGCTTCTGGAGACACATAAAGCATGTTCTTCCTGTTACACAGAGAATCTATATAATTAACAAAAATTAATAAAAATAAAGGATAGAAAGAAAGCATTCTATTTAAACATAAGGAAAAAAGATAATATAGACAAAATCATGACTTTTATGAATAGTAAAATCCACTCAGGTAAAAATGTATACTATGTAACACTAATTATTTATTTTTTCATTTGTTTATGTATGTTATACATACGTATTTTCATTAGCTTGTTAAAACAGAATACCAAAAAAGTAAATCTGACTGTTCCTCAGTTATGTATATCAAACTCTACTTTCTGTTGAACTAGTTCCTTATAGAGTAGGACTTGAAGAAATTTCTCTTAACACAAGTAAGATTTTTTTTTTAAGGGCCATAAGATGAGCATTTAATTAAAACACACACATCTGCACACACTTTCTTTAGGCTGCTGAAATATCAGGTCTTTAATTCCCCATTAAAACAACACAAAACCCTGATTATAAGTTTTCAAATCATTTGAAGATGTAAAAGGCTGTCTGCATTTCAGCTTAGTTCAAAGCCAGTAAAGAAATAGCTCTTCTTCTTCCAACTAAAAGCATGTTTAGGAGAAGGATATCTGATAGAAGTGGTAATGCCAATCTAACCAATTTTAAAATATAAAGTGCTACTAGCAATATTTGGATACATATAATTTCAGAATAACGTTTTATAAACTTAAGCTTTGAAAAATAGAAACTATAAACCCCAACAAAAAAACTTAATTTGTAATTGAAAGAAAATAATATTTTGTAGAAAAAAGTGTCCTTCCAAAAAGAGACGAAAATGACTTTCATTTCCCAAGAGAATTATGCCACTTTTATACAACAAAATTACAGTCACCACAAATTGCTTTCAACAATTCCAATGCTTCTTCATTTGACCACTTGAAAATCAAAATTCTTTCATATTATAAATATAACTTTTTATAACTCTGTTATTACGTACTGTGAATGGGGAAAGCGGGCCAATCTTGTGGCTGTAGCGTCGAATGGCCTCTCTGATGTGGCAGGGCTGGATGGCATCGCTGTGAGCCTCAACACCACAGGCTGCAGTGCTCTGCGACAGAAAAACACATAAATTGTTACTAAATCAAAAACACACAACAGAACTACAGTGTATATATATGAAAATAAACCTTTACAAAAGAGACCGGTTTTTCCCTTAGGATGCACATCACTACTGCCATATACTACATCTAAAAAAGAATTCCATTAACAAATCAAAGATGACTTTTACATGACCCCTTCCAAGCAGACCTACCAAACGCAATTTTTATGCCCACAATATTTCACCTAAGTCTGCATGTCAAGACACAGGAGAATACAGCCACTTGCCTGCAGATAAAAAGTGTCATGAAAGCTTACTGAAAGAACCACAGGAAGTTATTTTTTTTTTTTAAAAAAAAACATGTTAACATTTACTATTATAAATGTTTCTTAGGAGCTTCTTTGGCACATTTCTGAAACAACTTGTGGGTCATCAACTTAAAATGAAAAACGTTAAATTTCTATACATTTATTTGTCATACCTGGGATTGTCATAAGACCATTTCAACTTGGTTTCTAATTTTCTAGGTATCTCAGGACAAAACAAAAATGAAACCAACAACTTTCTGTTTTAATTTGCCGCATCTGTAAAAGGCAGGTTTGCAAGCACAAAAAAATACAAGAAAGATAAGGATTATTTGCAGTGAGAGTGTAAATACAAACTTAAGAAATTATAGATGTGTATATGTGTGTTCAGCATGATTTTTCAAAATAACTTATAGGGCTAAACCCTAGCCCTATTATGAGCTGGATACATATAATTTCAGAATAACGTATCAGAGCTGATTATGTATCAGCTCTGCCAAGATACATAATATCTCAGGTCTGTTTCCTCATCTGTAAATTGGGAAAACAATTATAATTGCTTGTAGGACTGTTGTGAAAATTAAATAAGTTAAAATACATAAACCACTTAGAACAATGCCTGACGCATGCTAGGAAATTGTTTTATTTTTATAAAGAGATGATGTTTCATTTTGTCACCTAGGCTGGAGTGCAGTGGTGTGATTACAGCTCATTGAAGCCTCAAACTCCTGGGCTCAAGTGATCTCTGGCCTTAGTCTCTGAAGTAGCTGACACTAAAGGCAAGTGTCACCACATTTGGCTACTAAAAAAAAAAAGATTAATTTCTTTATAGATATGGTCTTGTTATGATGCCCAGGGTGGTCTTGAACTGCTGGGCCCAAGTGATCCTCCTGACTCAGCCTCCTGGGTAATGTTAGCTAGTAATAGTATTAGGTTATTCAAATCAAGTGTTAAAAATGGGAACTCTTCAAAGTATAGTGGGTAGCAGATGGCAGGTCATCAACATTAAAGAATCAACTTGCATATTACTATAACTGGGGTCTAGAAGTCATTTGTAGCCACACAATTAATATTATTTGTTTTTCTGATCATTACTATAATTTTTTGATAATTAATACATTTTTTACACTCATAATTCTTTGTAGGGAATATAACTCTATAGATAGCAACCTCTATGGATAGCAATTTGGCAAAATCTTATCAAAATGAAAAAGAACAACCTCTTTGACTCAGCACATTCACCTGTAAGAATTTATCCTACAGATATATTGCACAGGTACAAAATTATATATATACATGAGGATACTTACTGTAGTACTAAATGTTCATCATTGAGGGATTGGTTAAATAAATTATGATACATCCATTCAAAGAAACAGAAACCAAAGCAACCACTGGAAAGAATGAGGCCGTTCCCTACAAACTCCTATGGAGTTATCTCTAAGATATTATATGAAACACTGATCAAAAACTGAAGTAGGAGGTTTACTATGGTAAGTCTTTGTGTTCCCCTAAAATTTGTACGTTGAAATCCAAGCCCACAAAGTCATGGTATTAGGATAAGAAGCCTCTGGGAATTGATTTATCCATGAGGGTGGAGCTCTCATGAATGGAATTAGTCCCCTTATAAAAGAGACCAGGGACAGACCACTCACCCCTTCTGCCATGTGAGGTCTGGGTAAACAGATGACTGCCTATGAACAAGGAAGTGGGCCTTCACAAAACACTGAATTTGCCAATGTCTTGATCTTGGACTTCCTAGCCTCCAGAACTGTAAGAAATACATTCCTACTGTTTATAAGCCAACCAGTTTACAGGATTTTGTTATAGCAGCCCAAATGGACTAAGGCAGAAGCATAAGTTAGAAAAACTTTGTGACTGCCATTTGTAAGATATAGAGACACATAAGCCAGCCTGGTTGAATCATGCTATTTTTGCCAAAAGGTGACAATAACTTATATTAAAATAAAAACATTGAATTTTGTGAAAAATGTCATTAGAGGTTCCATTTTGCCAATTTCAGGTTTATCTGCCATAATTCAGCAACTGTTAACATTAGCATAATGAAGCTACTAGGTGCACTTTTATACTTTCTTGATCTGCTCATTGAGTTCTCTGGAAGCAAGCCTTTAAACGTTATAATCCCAGTTTTTTTTTTCCACCTCAACAAATATCTTCACACACTCTGTCAACATCTAGTCCTTTATCAAGGTGCTAATAATCTGTTTGAATTAAAAATGTATCCCAAGTTTAGAATTTTTAATATAGTAGTGGTTCTAGCACAATATTCTTCAAAACTGTTTCAGAAGAATTACATATTTGTAATTGTAAATGTACATATTTGTTATTAATAATCTTATATCAGCTATAAACACATGTGAAGAGCATTATACTTATACATCAATTCATCTTTAACATCCTGATTAGGCCCAAATTTTAGGATACTCTTTAAATTTTCAAAAACTAAACCCAAATATTTGACAAAATACTGAGTCCTGTTTATAAAGTGTTTGCAGAAATCTCTCTGGGAACTAAACTCTGTATTTCTTTAAGAAAAGCACTAGTTGTTTGGAAGCGTTCTCCATATGTCAGGTCCTCTTCCTCTTGGCTGCATTCACACTCTATTCTTGTATCTTTCCATTTTTGTATTAATAGCTCTTCAACTAGAAACTGATGCTGGGTATCAGAAGTTGAAATAGCATACAGAGTTCTACATATTTTCTGGATTTGACTATTGTCTCTCTGTTTTTCTTTGCTGGTTTACAATGAACAAAATCTCTTAGCAGTTTAAACTCTCAACTGTGGTACAGGAAGTTATACTGAAACTCAGGTTGCCCCTGGATCTCTCACTGAGCCTTTTCCTCCCAACTTAAAAGTTCTTGGCAGTGTAAGTGTCCTATTCTTTCTCAGCCTTCCCCTTACCAGAGTCAGTGTTTAAGAAGGATCTAGAATTTCATTCAATTGCATCTTATTCTTTCCACATCTATAATGGTAAACTAGATCTTTTGCTAAATGTAAAAATCTTCAATAATTATAGAGAAGTAACACTCACCTCAGACTAGAGCAACTGAAAGGCTAGTACTACTATCACTCACATTTTGTGGACCACAAAAGTTGATATGATCTGGCCAAGGAAGTATCATCTTTCTCCTGTTATACGTATAGCTCCTCCAAAGTTTCATCCTTATGGAGAATTTTTTTCACATGAACGTGGGCCATTCATTGGCCAAAGGATATAGTGTACGACATGTAATTTTCTCATTTAAAAGTTTGAGATGGTAACTGTTAAAATGTAGTTCTTATATAACTAGAAAAAGCTCTTCTTTTATTTGTATAAATGTGTACAGTACAAGTGTGATTAAGTTACATGCATAGATTACAGAGTGGTAAAGTTAGGGCTTTTAGGATATCTATTTCCTGAGTAACATAGTTACCCATTAAGTAATTTCTCATCATCTGCCCCTACTTACTCCCAACGTTCCAAATCTCCATTGTCTATCACTCCACACTCTACCTCTATGTGTACACGATTTAGCTCTCACTTATAAGTAAGAACATGCAATTTTGACTTTGTTTCTGAGCTATTGCACATAAGATAATTGCCTCTAGTTCCACCCATGTTGTTGTAAAAAATATTATTTCATTCCTTATTTCTTTTTTGAGACAGCATCTTGCTCTGTCCCCCAGACTGGAGTACAGTGGTGCGATCTCGACTCACTGCAGCCTCTGTCATGCTTAAGCCACCCAAATAGCTGGGACTACAGGCACACCTGCTGCGCCTGGCTAATGGCCCATAATTTACAGTTGGCTGTAAAATAAGGTTTTATTTCTGGGTTACCTACTCTCCTCCATTGATTTATGTATCTATTTTTATATCAGTAGAGTCAGGGTTTTGCCACGTTAGCCAGGATGGTATCAAATTCCTCACCTCAGGTGATCCACCTGCCTCGGCTTCCCAAAGTTCTGGAATTACAGGCATGAGCCACTGCACCTGACCCATTCTTTTCCATTTCTGAATATTACTCCATTGTGTATACATGCCACATTCTCTTTACCTATTCATCTGTTGATGGAAACTTAGGTTGACTGCATCTTTGCTAAAGTAAATAGGGGTGCAAATAAACATATGAGAGGAAGTATCTTTTTTATGTAATGATTTCTTTTCCTTTGACTAGATACCTGGCAATGAGATTGCTGGATTGAATGATAGTTCTATCTTCAGTTCAGAAATAGCTATACTGGCCCAGCGCAGTGGCTCATGCCTGTAATCCCAGCACTTTGGGAGGCCGAGGCGGGTGGATCATGAGAAGTCAAGTGTTTGAGACCAGCCTGGCCAATGTGGTGAAACCCCGTCTCTACTAAAAATATTTAAAAAATTAGCCAGATGTGGTGGTGCTTGCCTGTAATCCCAGCTACTCGGGAGACTGAGGCAAGGGAATCGCTTGAACCTGGGAGGTGGAGGCTGCAGTGAGCCGAGATCGCGCCACTGCACTCCAGCCTGGGTAACAGAGCAAGACACCATCTCAAAAACAAAACAACAACAACAAAAATTCCATACTGTTTTCAATAGAAGTTGTACTAATTTACACTCCCAACAACAGTGTACATGAGTTCCCTTTTCTCCATATCCTCACCAACATGTTATTTTCTCTTTAATAATAGCCATTCTGATTGGTGTAAAATAGCTCATTGTGGTTTTAATTT